AATGTTCATTATCACTTTCTTCATCACTATCACTGTCTGATGAATCAGAAACACTCGACAACAATAATAAGCTCAGCAATTGTTTCAGGGGAAGCCTGCTTGTCTGACAAGACAGGTCTCAATTTACCATCTTCCATAACCCAGCCCAGTTTGCATGGATCAAGGATTTCTGGATGAATAACAGTATCCTGGCTCCATATATTGGCCTGCAGATGTACACATAATATATGCTTATATAAGGCTCCTGCAGTTGGTGGCAGCTTATCTACACCTTGATTATTTGGCAGAGTTTTGAATCTTTTCCATCGTAAAGTTGAGGCATCTTATATATATATATAATTTACATTATTTGAGGTTCAGTATGACTCGTACTTACCTCCTCCTGTGGATCCTGAGGATCAACAACCGGAAAACCATTGTGGTTAGAATCAGATGAGCTAAGCACATCAATTATCCGACCAACTTTCTCAATACTGTTTAAGGTCACTACTGGACGATTCATGATCTCACTGAAAAACAACATAACAACAACAATAATTACACTATAATAATAGTAGAATATAATACAAAATAATATAAGAATAATAATCCCAATAATAGTAAAAGATCTGTGGAATTCATATTGCTGTCCATACTGTAATCAACCACTCTAAACATGTGGGATATATGCCCATGTACCTGGCCTAGTCCTGACTGGTCAGATATTTGATTGACACACGGAAAGTTCAATTGGAAACAGCCTCAACCACATGCAATGCACAACCTACTCTACCCCCGCCTCCATCAAGTATTTCAGGTCATATATCGTAAAACCTAGAATAGAAGCACTGGGCTCCTATTTTTTTTAGAACTCCGGTTAGGCTTCTTTTCGAGGCGACTTTTGCAAAGTAAATCAGGAGCTTCTTTTCAAAATGAATGTTGTGAATTGTGTGAATTACTACTATAAAACAATAAATAGCGCAAATGTAACATTAATCTGTATTAACCAGCATTAAATCACCTAACTACTGTATAAACCAAGCATGATTAATTAATTTTGTTTCTTTGAACTTCATGAACAGTGTGCACTTTACTATTTCAAAGAAATGGGCTTCTTTTCAAGGCTACTTTAGAAAAATAAAGAGGAGGCTTCAAATCGAGATGGGCTTCTTCTCGAGATTAAGGCCATTGGGCTTCTATTTAAGGTTTTATGGTACATCAATTGTAAACATAGACAAAATAAAAAAAATCCATACATACCTTGCATGGATATTTGCTGTTAATTGCGGAGGTTCCCAGGGAAGTATAGGAACACTCTGCAGCTGTATGTGAATATCGTACAGGCCTTCGTTGAAGAGATCACCAATCCACTTGGCAAACACCAGCACAAGCATGAGAGGAAGGCCGTAGGTGATGTTGCCAGTTGCCTCTATCAATATCACAGTCAGACTAATTGTCATACGAAGAACACCGCCTGTTGAATTGTAATAAAAACATGTGTCAATAGAGGGCACTGTTTGTAGAGAGTGCTGTTTGTGGATGGTACAGTTATGTGAATTTTTTTTAAACAATAACCTAATATCATAAAAAATTCAATCATTAATGATAATGGGAATAATAAAACTTATATTCTTTGTATATTTAATGCCATCAAATTAAAAATGGTTGTCAGTAGCTGAATCGGAGTATTCTTATTACCAAATCACAAAACAAAATGTAATAAAATCGTAGAGCATATGACACTGAATTGTGTAATGTCAAATATTGTGTATGTCTTACCATGGAGGTATTATTGAGAAGGAGATCACTCGGCAAAGCTACGCGCACGCAGCGCTATGCAAATGAACCAAGATCAAAGTTGCCGCAGCGCGTAAAGAACGTTTGCGCGATGCCTTTGAAGTCCCATGTGTTCCCCGCCATCAAATTTTCAACAGGCATAATTGACCAAAAAATTGAACATGATGAAATGGAGAGCACCTTCTTTTCTCAATGCGCACTACATACTGTCAATCACTATGGCTGCGCAAT